CCAGTCGGTAAGTCAACAATTTTCCAAGTATTGTTGGACATTATAGAATCCATTTTATCATTTATAACATATTTCCAAAACTTGCCATCTCAAGAAGTTATTGCTTCTTTATAGGTTTTATAATCACTATCAATTTGAAAAACATAAGATTTCGAACATTTCATTTTGTTGCAGCACACTGACAATTTCATCCATTTTATCGTTAGTTGATCAGATAAATTGATTTTGGCCAAATTTAGAAAAGGGCAAAACGATAACTTTGCTATTTTAACATAAAATAATTTAATAAAAAAGAAGAAAAACCTCCCTTCCCTCCCCCTCCCCCTCCCCCAAAACCTTCCGCCGCCGCCATCGTCTTCCCTACCAACTTTTTCTTCATACTTGTTGAACAATTCATCCTCGATTTCATTCCCAAAGTGAATCTTTAACAATCCTTCATATAGTATTCTATCGAATGTGGCAAATGATTTGGAGTTAGGTGCGATGAGATGCTTTGTTGAATTGAAGACAGTAATAAAAAGAAATAGGGCTTCAATATCTAAAGAATAGAGATATTTAACAATTCAACAAAGCATCTTAATGCTCGTGACTCCAAATCGTTTGCCGCATTTATAAGAGTATTATATGAGAGATTGTTAAAGATTCACTTAAAAAATGAAATCACGGATAATTTGTTCAACAAATGTGAAGAATGAAGAAAAAGTTGAAGAGTCAACACTTATGTTCAATCCAAATGAGAATTCTATGATCACATTTGTCCTTCTCAAGTGCAAAAGGATGACATGATCTCGCAAGTTTTACGTGGTGCAAATGATTGGGTTGTGAAGATGGGTTGCTACGTTTTGGAGGGCCCAATTTAATCTGATCCAATAAAAAATTTTAAGCCCAATTACCCAATCCATTATTGATCCAATTATTAGATGATTCGGGAAGAGAGATAAAAGCGTGTGTCATGCTTGATAAATTCAAGCCTTTACTGAATGCTTGACACTTGGAATGTTTTACACCGTTGATCCGTCTTTGGGCTTATCACGTATAAAAGGGGCACTTGTGTGCCTCTAAGGTTACAAACCGTTTCAACTCTTTTTTGTCTTTGTGAATGCTCACGTTGTATGTTCATAGATTGGTCATCAATTGGATGAACATGAGTGATTTCTTTGTGAGATTGTTGCATTGAGAGAAGAGTATAGCAATATACAGTACTTTGTGAGTGATTGATGTAAAAGAGAGTTTCAGAGATTGGGGTTTCGTTTGAACCCTTTGCTGATTCTGTACTGTACTAGTTATTTGCCCATTTTTGGGGCTTTACAGTGGTTCGAGCAATATCTTTAGGGATGCTTAACGAGGGATTAGGGTCTTGTCTAGTGCAGCTGAATGCTTCCATTTGTAGCCTTTTTTTACTTTACCAATGGCAGCGGGTCCCACCTAACTCACATGTAGTCAAAAATTGTTGGTCACTTTTGAAAATAACGGGGGCAGAAAAACCATTTTTGATGGACAAAAATTGCACCAGACACACGCTAGATATTAGAAGCGGTCGCTGAACCTCTGGTGCCTTTGACCGAAAAATCTCATGTTCTTGATGTTTTTTTTTATTCTTTACTATTTTTACTTTTTACAAAACAAACTCAATCTGGGACCAACAGTCGGTCTATGGAATTTAGTTCCTATTTATTTTGCTGCATTTCTATCTGAACTTCAACATCATGGCCTTTTTCCTATGGCGCATCCTCAATAAAAATAATATTAGTAATAAGATAGCTGTGTTCTACATTCTTGAAAGATGCAATCAATCTCTGTTTAAACGTTTTAAATCATTTCTCGTAACTGAATCTTATTTCTAATTTTATTGTCAATAGAAAATGGTCAATTCTATCTATAAGTTCTTTATTTAACCCCATTTTTTTTAAAATTCTCCATTTGTGTTCCAAGAAAATTGTGTGGAAAATGAAAGAAGAATACCCTTTTTTTTAAAAAAAAAAAACGAAATAAAATTATTGAATTGTTGTTGTACATAATGTTTTACATGATAATTTACATACACTCGACGTGGTAAGACATGATTGAATCAGAATTTTTTCAACCAAATAATGATACTCGTATATAAGGAGTTACATAATGGTTTACATACAAATGATGTGTCAAAAAGAAAGTGAAGAAGTTTTTTTTTATTTGGTTGAAGAAATTTTGATTCAATCATATCTCACCACATATGTGTATATAAATCATTATGTACATGTGACACAACCGTTTATATTATTATCGCATTGTCAGCTAATTGTTGATATTGTTACCTCGTTAAACTTTTTGTTGAATTTTTTATTTGTTGGAGTGTTAGATTATATATAGATTGTTATCTTTTCTTTGGGATTTATATAATTTATAATGAAAAGTCAAACTCCTTCCAAGGAAAATAGGAAATTCTTTCCGTTCTTTTTAATGATAGATCAATTTAGTGAAAGTATACTCCAATCCCCCGAACTTCAAGAAATAAATATACGAGTTTTATTACATTGATTTTTGAATTCCAATTCGCCAAACGTTTACCACATTCATGTGAGAATAAGCATAACTAATTAACAAGCTAGCCTTTCTACATCGAGTTGACTTGGCCTTACTCAGTTAGTCACTGTTTGGTACAGATTAAAATTTAATTTTAACCATACATTTTATAAGATCCACAACTTTTATCAAAATTCACTAAAAATCTGATTTTAATATATAACAAACAGCGTAAATGTTCTTAGTTCTTGTCCTATTGTACCACTCAAAAATACCAAAATAAATAAATAATCGTCTTTCTACCTGCATAAGTCGCATTAGCGAGAAGCAACTTTAGGGTCAAAAGACGTATTAATGTGTTCTTTGCTGATCCTCTCATATCGCTAACCCAAACATTCTGAGACCATAGAAGTTCACTCTCCCTTCTGTGTGTGTAGTCCAAAAGCGTAAGTATTTCTTTCCAATTCAATTATCCTTTTTTTCACCTCCGTTTATACAAATTTATTCTGAGCCTATTTGTGTTTATGAATACTGGTCTGTAATTTTGATTGAAATCCAGTCATCAAATAAGGGGTGAATACTGGTCTTTAAATTAGGAATTCTCGTAGTTTGCATTACTTTAGAAATCAAGAATTCATTTTATAATGCTTAAATAGTAATAAGACTCCATTTTACTGTTTTAGCATTATGTGTTCAATGATTCATTGATAAAAATATGAGAATTTTGTAAAATCTATGTGAGTATGTTAGATTTGAAATTATCGTTTCGGTTGTAGCCTGTAATGGGGAAATAAGACTTGAAATTTGAAATAATGAAATAAAATTATGCCCTTTTGAGCTGAATCTATTCTGAATTCAGTCAATTGGATGCTTCAGTAGTTTTTTTTTCCCCACTGATCTACTCAAATTCAGAATTTTTCCTTATTTTTTTCACAAGATTTTCCGTTAACAATGTCTTTGTTGAATGTGTCTACTGAAATAAGTATTTAATTGGTGAAGTTCTGGAAAACTGACTGTGTGATGTAATAATCTGAAATTGCACTCTTGTTTTTAGCAAAAGAGAAAAAGAAAGCATTCTCTCCTCTTTTATATTTTGCATCTATAGTATTCTTTCCATGGTAGATTTATCTCTCATTTACTAAAAAGTATGGAATCTTGGGATACTAATTGGTGTAATACTTGGCAATCCAAATTTTTTGTGAATGATATTCCAAAGAAACTAGAGAAGTTTATAGAATTAGAGGAAATCGCCTTCTTGAAACGATGGAGAAATACTCGGAGACACATCTACGGAAGCTTGGTAGAGGAATCCTCAAAGAAATGATTATTTGATAAACAAAAATTATGTACCAAATGTTTCCGATCTTGTGATGTGTGATTATCAACCACTTGGCATATGAACTTTGTGTATTAATCTCTGTGTGCATGGACATTGGTTTATGGCCGGTAACTATCTTTAAATTTCTTTATGAGTATGGTGGACATTGGAAGTAGATTGCTGTTCAATAGTTCTTGTGTTTGTCTGCTTGCTTAGGTTCCTCCACATAGTTTGAGAGTGTATCAAAGTCTGAATTCTTAGTCTTCTAATCGAATGAGAAACCAGTTATTGAGAGGTCTCAGTAAGTACCATGTCGATAGTTTGAGATAAAAAGTAACGGTAAGTTGGGCAGGCCGTTAAGATTTATGCCTTTGTTTGGTTTAGATAAGAATTAGATTTTTGGATTTTGATAAAAGTTGATGAAACGTATGGTTGAAAAGTTGATAAAAGTTACGAGTGCCATTAAATGTGTGGTTGAAAATACGTTTAGGAAAAATGAGTTTTATAAAATGGGGGCCAAACATGGGCTAACTGTAGGAAATAATTTTACCCTGTCCTTACATAACCTACTTCATCTGTTATGATAGTTCATGAGTAATCTGGAATAATATATATGTCCAAAGGGAGACACCAATAAAATCAACTAACTACTCCAGCCTACAATTTGCTTTAGTTTCTTTTTTATTACTGCCAAATGGCTACAATCACATCGGTCGTTCTTGATGCTCTCAGTCCTTTCTCACTTACCTTTTTGTGGCTTCACGAGTCCATTACCTGCTCCACCTACTATCGCTCGCATTAATATTTGAAGTCAACTAGGCTTTATTTTTGTCTTTGTTTTCGATATTAGAGACCTTTTACTTGGTTAATTATGCTTTCTTGTTCAGATGTACAGTTTACTAAAGTAAAAAAGAGAAGTTCGCACAAGAACAGAAGATGCGTAAAGCTTCATATAGAGGATAAATTTCAGGAAGATTTTATTACTTTAGCTCTAAATGTCATATCATTATTCTGGTCATTTGCTATCAGGTGATTGGAAACTGCTCTTTGGAATATAGTGCTCCTGCACTAGATGAAAAAATTGCCATCTCAAAAGGATAGTACAAGGGATAAGAAATCCAGCCCACTTCGACCCACCCTCTGCTTTTAGTGTAGGACAGCAACGCGAAAAAACTCCACCATGTTGTCCTTGGCAAATCCTTTCACTGCTTTCCCTCTTAGAATTTCATGTGCTTCCCGATGTAGCCAGGTTCGTTCCCTAGTAATAGGACCCATCAGAAGCAGTAGCGATAATGGCAACACCACCACCAGCAGTGATGATGGAAGTGCATCACCCCCTGTCCGGCCACCCATATCACCATCGGATACTGTAGAAATACGGTTTCGAAGAGGTTCCAGGCGGAGAAGGAAGGAGCAACAAGATGGTACTGCTGATAAAATCACAGCAAATTCACGGGCCTCGACTCCCAAGGACTGGGATTCAATGAGTCTCACTGAGAAGGCGATCGAGTTATATGTGGGAGAGAAGGGTTTATTATTTTGGCTTAACAAGTTTGCTTATGCTTCAATCTTCATTATTATTGGAGGATGGATACTGTTCCGCTTTGTTGGTCCTTCACTCAACTTATACCAGCTAGATACTCCTCCTTTGGCTCCGACTTCCATGTTCAAGGGTTAGTGAGAAAAATCCTATAGCAGGACTTTGGCCAACGACCTGAGAACACTACATGTCAACATTCAGGATATGTTTGGTAAACGAACTGGACACTACAGTAGATAAATTTAGAACATCTTTTTCTTCTTTTATATTGTCTTAGTACAGTCTCTATCGTACCAAACAAGAACTCAAGCTATCTTAATGAGGCAATCAATCTTCCCCTGCTTTCATTTTCCCGAATTTTGTATCATGAGGCCTCAGTGTTGTGAAGTATAAGAACCTTTAATTATATTACTTAAAACTGCTTATTGTTATCTATGACTTTAGCTGTAAGACATAGAATATTTGTATTATAAGTAAAATAACTATCTGGACCCATTTCTTTTAGGGCCGTGCTACATTTACTGAGGGGGTATTACCGAATGGTGTCCCCCCTCTTACATCAGGGGGTGGGGCCTCAGCTTGGCATTTTTTAATGCGCTCGGGGCCCGCAAATCATGTGAGAGGGGAGGCACAATTCGGTAGTCCCCTCTCGGTACAAATATCATTTCTCTTTCTTTTATGGTTGTAAGACTTGTTTGATAAGACTTCTGCTTTTTGTAAAAGAGTTTCTTGAGGAAGTCATCTTCTAAAAACTCTTCTAGACATACAAGTACTTTCGAAAAATTATCCAAACATGTTTAAAAATAGCTTCTTAATCTTAGGAGTAGCACACTAGCACTTGCGTTGAGTTGTAGGTAAGAATTAAATTGAACAATGTTATTCATCTCTACTGGAGTTAGGGTGAGTCATCGAGATGTTTTCAACATATCTTTAAATTGAACCATTTAAAACGGTTGGATAAAATTCTAAATCTAACCAAACCGTTTCAGCATACATACCAAACCAAAACCAAAACCAAAGTCAAATCATAATTTGTGGTTCGGTTCATTTCAGTTTCAAGCTACTGTTTAGAGATTCCCCAAACAAAAGCTCCTCTAATCTTCAAAATCCATTTTACAGTTTCAAAATGACGAGAATAAAATGGAATTCAGATGTTTGGTGAAGATTTGTTTCCTCATTTTTTTCTCAGCTATTTTAATCGTTTTGTGATTTATTTTTTCATTTTGAAAAAATTTAGAGTTGTTGCTATAATTTTCTTTTTATTTTTTATTTAGTTGCCTTCTAAAATTTATTTAAAGAAGAGGCAAATTCATAATGTTACTTGGCTTTACAGTCGACCGAAGGACGAGTTTTGTTACCTTTTTAAAAAAAAAATTTTCGCTGAAAAGTTGATTTTTTGAAGAATGTATGGTTAGAAAGTGGGGAAAATTTTTGGTTTTACTTTCGAAATATTTTATTTTTTAGATGTATGATTGAAAATGAGTATGGAAATTAAAGAGTTCTGAAATAATGGTTCTCAGAACTCAATAATGATTATAATTATCCAAACAAATAATGGAGTTACTTGTCCCAATGGTCACTGAACTTATATCCGTGCCTTCGATTGGTCATTGAAATTTAAAATGTCGAATTTTGACCACTAAACTTATCCAAACATTGGATGTTACTAATTGGCATAACATCTATTTCAAATCATTAACGAAATTGGTGACGTGGCTAACGGAATGCATATGTGACGCCCATCACTCCATTAATAAATTGTCACGTCTTCGATTGCTTACTCACTAAACTTTGCAAAATGTATTCATTTGCACACTAAAGTTTGAGGTTGTTGAAATTGTCGAATTTTGGCCACTAAACTTATAAAAATGACGTCAACCTTTTGTTCGTTAAAAAATGTGTACCGCAAACGCACATGTCGTGTAAAAGTAATAAAGTAGACAAACAAGTTCGAATTTTCAATTACACGATAAATGATTACCCAATTCCACAATAGTTACATTTAATTTTTACATATTGTTGTAGAATTTTAAATTATTTTCATCATTTGAAATTTAGTCAAATTTATTGTGTGTTTCGTTATTAAAATTAAAATAAAATTTAAATTTTGCAACGAAACACACAATAAATTTAATTAAAATTTGCATTTTGCAACTAAAAACACAATAAATTTAACTAAAAATTGGATTTTTGTAACGAAAGCACACAATTTATTTAATTAAATTTATTGTATGTTTCGTTGCAAATCTAAACTTTAATTTCGTATGTACGACTTTTCACAGAATTATATATGTATCTTTGAGATCGAGTATGAAATTATATCCCCGATCAAAATAGGTATGTTAATTCCTTAGTTGCATATATCATTGCACTTCCAATTGACACCTATCGTAATGATAAATTGCTCGTCTCATTTGGTTACTGCAACACCCTTTGTGAGGAGGCGCATCCCTTCTCTCAAAGTTACGGGGCTATTTTGTCGAATTTCTTAGAGAGAGTTGTCTCGCGTCTCTAAGTATTCAGTATTCTCTACCTATCCAAAGAGAGTCTTTTGAAGGTCTGATCTCGAAGTTGTAGCACGAAGGTCATCTTTAATTTTAGCAATGAAACACATAATAAATTGAACTTTTCAAATAATGAAAATAGCTTTAACTTCTACAAAAATATATTAAAATTAAATTTAACTATTGTATAATTGAGTAATTATTTTTTGTGGGATTGACAATTCGGACTTGTTTGTTCATTTTATTACTTTTGCACAACCCGTGCTCTAGAATATTATTTTTAGTGACCAAAATTTGATCACATCAAACTTCAGTGAGCAATCGAATATGCTTTTTAAAATTTAGTGAGCAATTGAAGACATTAACGACGTGACGGGGTGCTACGTGTGAATTTCGTTAGTCATGTTACTAATTTCGTTAAGGGAAATATTATATGTACATAGCATGTTCCATAAAAGTGTCCATAATGGACACATGGAAGCTCCTTATTAGGGAGGTGTCTGCATGCCCAGGCACCACTCCAATAATGGGTTTTCATGTGTCCATTATGGACGCCCTTATGTATTCTGCTATGTACTCATAGCTCAATCCTTTCATTAATGATTTAAAATGAATGTTATGCCAGTGAGTAACGCTCAACATTTATACAAGTTTAATGATTAAAAATTGACATTTTAAACTTCAATAAGTAACAAAGACATCAATGACTATTGAGAGAATGAACTCCAAAAAATGTGAAATGCTATAAACGAAAATTTACACGCGTCCAAGAAAACATAATGAGTACTTGATGATGGTCGACAGTACCTGAATCCAACCCGTCAAACCCTAAATAAATATTTTTCAGCAATCTCGAAATCAAATTCACAATCAAAACCCACCAAGAACACTTTGATCCAGCTTAATAATTTCCACCAACAATCAAGATCTATAGAATCCTAATCACAATCCGAAATTCTTGTACGCAATTGGATTCTTTTGTACAATAAACATTATTCAAAATCTGTTGTTTAATGTTATTGTTCTTCCATTGATCCATTCCATGCTACAAGGATTCTGTAATTAGCTTTTGTAGAAATTTCAATGGGAGCTGATAAGAAATGGCTCTTAATCTTTTTCTCTGCCGCCTTCATTTCGGTCGTATTTTTGTTCTTAATTTCGGGATTTAGGTCCTCGTATTACTACGCCTTTTCCTCGCGCAAATCATTTGCTTCAGCTGTTCATCGCGGGCCGGGTTATCCACCTGCTTTCGCGTACTATNTGGTTACCAAACGGTGCCTCAATGAGTAACAAAGACATCAATGACTATTGAGACAATGAACTCCAAAAAATGTGAAATGCTATAAACGAAAATTTACACGCGTCCAAGAAAACATAATGAGTACTTGATGATGGTCGACAGTACCTGAATCCAACCCGTCAAACCCTAAATAAATATTTTTCAGCAATCTCGAAATCAAATTCACAATCAAAACCCACCAAGAACACTTTGATCCAGCTTAATAATTTCCACCAACAATCAAGATCTATAGAATCCTAATCACAATCCGAAATTCTTGTACGCAATTGGATTCTTTTGTACAATAAACATTATTCAAAATCTGTTGTTTAATGTTATTGTTCTTCCATTGATCCATTCCATGCTACAAGGATTCTGTAATTAGCTTTTGTAGAAATTTCAATGGGAGCTGATAAGAAATGGCTCTTAATCTTTTTCTCTGCCGCCTTCATTTCGGTCGTATTTTTGTTCTTAATTTCGGGATTTAGGTCCTCGTATTACTACGCCTTTTCCTCGCGCAAATCATTTGCTTCAGCTGTTCATCGCGGGCCGGGTTATCCACCTGCTTTCGCGTACTATATTTCCGGTGGCAGGGGCGACGAGGACCGAATTTTTAGATTGTTGCTGGCCGTGTATCATCCTAGGAATAGATATTTGCTGCACATTGCTGCAGATGGGACTGATGAAGAGAGGACGAGGTTGGTGGCAATGATTAAGTCTGTGGCTGCAGTTCGGGCCTTTGGGAATGTGGATGTGATAGGGAAGCCCGATCCGGTCACTTACATGGGGTCCACGAATATTGCGGCCGTTCTCAGGGCAGCTTCGATTTTGTTGAAGTTGGATGGTGGATGGGATTGGTTTATCACTCTAAGTGCATTGGATTATCCACTGATTACGCAAGATGGTAAGCTTTCTTTTTGGAATTTTGTGCTGTTTGTTACTTCCTGATTGGAATAGTTTGTGGAATATGGATTCTTGCATCGTCTGTTTGGATGGAAATCTGTTTGTTGTTTTGTTATAGCCTCTGGGAGCAAGGGTAATTGGAGGCATTTTTATCTGTACACTGTCATGGCATATTTTTTGTATCCGATATTTTTATTTTACATGAACTGGGTTTTGGTTTTAGTTTGAAATTATAGAATGAAAATAATTGTTTTTTTTTTCCGGTGCTCCCCGATTGGACTGATTTGCGGTAAGCCAATTTTAGTCATATGTTTGCTGTTTGGATTGTTTAATCTAGGGTACACAACTCCCTTTTCTAATTTAAATCTGCTTCATTGAAGGACTGTTTACATGCCACTCTAAAGAACATCTCATATTAGATGCCATTGCCTGAGTATTTTGTGATGATCTAATATATTTGTTATTTCCCATTAGATCCTTAAAAAATTGAAGTTTCTTTGTAAGGAATTATGACTATTTTCAAGTTTGATGTATTTTCATTTTTTCTCTCTCTATAATATCTTGACATATTGGAGAATGACAATTTGGTTAATGAGTATCCCTCGAGACCAAATTAAGAACCTTTCTTGGTTCCTTTTAGCTGTCAGTTCACTGATTATTTTTCTTCGGAAACAAATATTCCCCGAGGAATTAAAAAAAAGAAAAAAGAAAGTTGATGAAATGATGATGGCAATGCTTGCAAATCCTAATATACCCTTGAATCTTGCAATAATTTGTAAGTATTTATCTTGATATAGTAGCTGAATTCTCAGAATGTGTTATAATTCCAGACTTATTGGATTATCCTTGAATCTTACCGAAATTTGTAAGCATTTATCTTGGGATAGTAGCTGAATTCTCAGAATATGATACAACACGATACTTATCAGATTCACTTTCTAGTGTCAGTTGGAGATACAATTTTCACATTAGTTCTCGTAATAGATTTTTCAGTTTCTACAAATACAGCAAAATGGTCTTAGCTTAAACAGTTAAAACAATCTCTTGCAATCCTAAAATGTGTCTTAGATCCTAGTCCTGACTGCTTTTATTATATGTTCTCACAACTTTTTCCTATATGCCATTGGAATCTCTAAGCCAAACCAGTGATGCTGTAGAGACATTTAATTTTGAAAAGAAAAAAAAAAAACTTCTTTTCCATTTCTTAATTCTTGGGAACCGGTATAGTCTGCTCCTCTCCCTAGAAAATCAAGTAATTAAGCAATTCCAATACTTAAATACTGCTCACTCTCCCATTCTTATCAGAGCATATATTCTCTTGGTATCTCTACTCAACTTCGAAGGCATCTATGGGCCCATTTGGTAGGTCTTTTGAAAAGTCAAAAGCAGCTTATGACTAAGAAGCTGTTTTTGAGCTGTTTTTGATAATTTTCTAGAGGTGCTTAGAAGAAATTTTAGAGGAAATTAATCCAATGTGATTTTCTCAATAAGCTATTCTACAAAAAGTAGAAGTAGAAGCTCTGCCATCCTAAATGTTTAACAAAATAACCTTAGATCCCCTAATTGTTCAAAGCGCCAATAGTGTAAACTACACAAGTAGAAGCCCTGCCATCCTAAATCTTTAACAAAAATGGGGCTCAAACGGGCTTAAATATATCAGATTTCTTGGATGGAAGGGTAAAGACAAAGTTGAAAAAATTTGTGGTTACATAAGCCATGAGAAGACATGAAGCTTTATTGGTATGTAGTTCATATTCCTGATTTGTCTAAACAATCTAATTCAACATAATCGTCATTTAGGGCTTGACAAAAGGAGAGGGATCTTAGTCCCAAAATGTTCTGTTATGAATGAAGTAACAAATGTAAAATACGTAGATATTAAAGAATTAGTGAAGAGCACCAAATTTGTATTAATTCGACTTATAACGAGTCTACATCCACTCATAGAAGGCTTTCTTCATATCTTTCTCTAAGTCGACAGCAATCATTTCCCTTTTCTTTTTGGGTTATAGGCGACTTTTAAGTATCGATTGAACGCATGACTAGTACTCTCTTAGTCTCAGGCAACGTGAAGCAATGTGCGGTGTTGTACGAGTTGTAATTTATATTGCCAAGTGCTTATGTTGATATACTTATTTTCCCCCCTTTTGAGAGTAGCTGCTCGTGTTGATGTACTTATCACCTGAGTTTCCATTTCTGCTTATCAGTGCTTAGATCTTATTTATTTATTGGAACATCAATTCAAATTTCATTCATTCAAGTCCCAACGAACTAAAATTCTAGATGAAAATAGGCAAACAGTCATTCCAAGATCTAGTGTCAAAACTAGAAATCAAAAAAGAAGCTATAATGTATGCTACTTCATTCCCCTTTTGAAGATGAAGCAACACAAGCCACAATAACTTCACTCAACAAAGAGGTGATATCCGATAAAATAGTAAAATCTGATTTAAGGCTGGACTGAATCTCATTCCACGTCTCTGAGTTAAGCCCAAGGTTTCCAGCAAGAATTAAACCATGCACATCGCCATTGCCTCGGCATTTTCAGCACTCTTCCCCCCATCCTCGTATCGGTGCTTAGATCTGTTTCCTTCATATTGCTAGTACATTTCTTACTATACTTTTTGTCATCAAATTTACCATGTTATCCATACTATTGCTTTTTTCAGATGTCCTTTGAAAAGATTTCGTTCCATTCCCAATCAATACACTATTTGGCTATTTTATAAGAGAATTGTATTCCTGCTTACATGCTAATTTACCTATTTTATTAATATGCTTTCAGATTTATCCCACGCATTCTCATCTGTTAAGAGAGACCTGAATTTCATCGATCACACAAGTGACTTGGGATGGAAAGAGTAGGCAAATTTTCAGTCTTTGAGCTATTTTGTAGGGTATGATCAAACTATTCAAGTAATCTACCTATTCATACGTCATTGCAGGGGTCAGAGAATTGAGCCCATTGTAGTTGACCCAGGTCTTTACTTGGCCCGAAGAACTCAAATCTTTCATGCTACAGAGAAGAGGCCAGTGCCCAATGCCTTCAAGGTTTTTACAGGTAAGTGTGTTTCAAATATTGTATTACTTACAGAATTTTTCTCGATTGTTTATTGAAGAATTGTCATCAATCCAGGTTCTCCATGGGTTATCTTGAGCAAATCCTTTCTCGAGTTTTGTGTTTTTGGTTGGGATAATCTATCTCGGACTCTTTTAATGTATTTTACTAATGCTGTCTTGTCTCAAGAAGTGTACTTCCAATCTGTTATTTGCAATTCACCGGGGTTTAAAAACGTGACAGTCAATTCTGATTTAAGATATTTTGTCTGGGATAGCCCTCCTAAGATGGAGCCCCATTTCCTTAACAGTTCAGATTATGATAAAATGGTTCAAAGTGGAGCTGCTTTTGCCAGACAATTTGAAAAAGACGATCCAGTTCTTGACATGATTGATAAAAAGATCCTCAATCGTGATCGAAACCGAGTTGTTCCCGGGGCGTGGTGCGCGAGCCGAAAGAGCTGGTTGAAGGATAGTTGCTTGAGGTGGGGTGATGTGAATGTTGTAAGGCCGGGACCTGAGGTAAAAAAGTTAGAAGAGACCATAACGAAACTTCTTGATGACTGGAAGTCAAATTCAAATATCTGCAGTTGATATCATTTTTTGGAAAGCGTCCAAGACAGGTACTGTACCTTATCTGTAGAACTTCAATTCGCATGCATCATTTAGCAATGACGCACCATTCTTCTGGTCGAGGGCTTCTTCAGTGTTTATGTTGAGATGAAGCTGAAGGCTCATGAGAATATGTTCCACATTCTTGGACACTACTGTAACCTTTGTATATGGTATTGTTGCTGAGTTACATTTACTTCTCATCTACATGCTCACAAGCAAATCTCACTACTTGGATCCCATGTGAAGGGTTGGTGAGGAGGCTTTTTATATATAAAAACTATTGCATTGATGAGTTGTCGAATTTCAGCAGCAAGATACCAACAAATGATTCCATCTAGACATGAATTTCAGTTCTATGTTAATCTTTGTTGGCTTGTTTCTGTAATTTCTTGGAATAACATTACTCCCTCCCTACTACGTCTTGTCTGTTTTGGGTTATTTTTTAAATATTTTTGTATCCAGATCATTAAAAGGACTCAGTCCTGTTTAATTTCTATTCCAAGTAGAGTTAAATATGCATAAAAAGTATCTAGTCTAGCTTTTTTTTTTTTTTTCTAAGTGTGATATCTTATACTGAAAATATTAAAGTTCAGTTACTTGTACAAATAATATGCGCATATTATTACAACTACATCAGAAATTTAACCACCCCTGTTTGGTTTCGCTAAAATCACATTTTTAATAGATTTTGATAAAATTAATGAAAAGTTGTGGGTCCCATGAATTGTGGAGTTAAAACTAGTTCTTGACTTTGACGACCAAACAGATGCCTAATACATGTTTTTGTTCGTGCATATCCAACGTATCATTATAATTTTCTTTCAGTTTCCAGCAAATTGGCTGCCTTCTCAGGCAATAGGCAGCCGCTGCCTGAAGTAACCTGCTTGAGGCAGGCAACCGCCTGTGACATTTGCCATTTTGGTCTGCCACGCGGGCGCTTGGGTTGAGCCATCGCCTTTGAGACTTGGCCCGAGTTGGCTCGAGCTTTTTACGGGGTCGAATTTCGGGACATCCCGAGTCACTAGTTATATGTTGGTTATTGACTTTGATTGACCTTATGTAAGAGCATCTTCAATGATTACACCAAATTTGGTGCAAAACATCTCTAATGATCACACCGAATTATTAGAGATGCTCTTAATACCAAATTTTACACCAACAATAAAGATACAGATGGACCAAAAATTTGGTGTAAAAGAAAATGGAGGACAAAATGGGGAATAATGAATACACCAAATTTTGTGTTAATGAAGTATTATCCCAAATTTGGTGTACCATTGGAGATTGTTTCAGGCTTCTATATTATGTTTTGATAATTTCTTGTGTTAACATTCATGTTCTAATATGAGAATGAGAGTAAGTTTGAGTCCTTTTTTTTTTGCAAAAAATACATTTTGGAATAGTTATTTGATAGAGAACGTGTGGTTAAAAAATAAGGAAAAAAATTTAAATTTGCGTGTAATATTATTTTATTGAAAAATGTGCGATTGAAAATAAGAGAGAGAGAGAGATGTATTTTAAAAGTAATGTGGATCAAACAAGCTCTGAATTTGCAAACTCATAATCACTGTTGGGTACATATTTAAAACTCATTTTTCATTAACACATTCTCTCAATAGAATAATTTTATAAGTAAATCCATAATTTTTCCTAATTTTTTAATTGCTAATTCTCCAAAAAATTATTCTTTCCCCATAGACAAATTATTGATGAAACCATAGTAATTTTGTTTTGTAGCAACATTGTTGAATTGTTCAATCCTCGAAATATTCACCAAGAAAATACAAAAATTCCTTCACAACCAATGGCCGTCCAATGTTTAGTTTGTTGGAACCACGTCGTATTATTTCAAACAACACAAATTTTTATTCCTATAATAATATTTGGTCTTTGAGAAACAAGGTACTTATGTAATCTATTATTTGTTTATTTATTTATTTTGTATTCTTTTTGCATCTTTCGAACACCCAAAATACGGTTTGGAAGTACTCGAGATCAAACAATAGACACGACGCTATAAGATCTATGATGTGGATGGATCGAACCGGCCATCGAATGTATAACTTCAGGGAAAAAAAAATCTAGTGCAAGTGTGCCACACAAATTCATCAAATTGGCAGTTCCAACTTTTGAAAAGTAAATTCATATATATATTTGAAATCTGATTTTCACTATGTGGACTTCAATGCTTGTTTGGGGAGAACTAATCACGTTGTTAAATCAATTAATTTTAACTATACATTTTATCAGATTCATAATTTTTATCACATTTTATCTAACTTTCTTCAAAATCTGATATAACTTCTATCAAAAGTTTCGTCAAACAACTTCTTATATTCTTATAAACTTAAATTATTGTGATGACTCGCTTAATACACTTTAACAATCAATTTTATAGACGATGCTATATGAATTGTCGCGTTTATCTAGAATCGTCACTTTTAATTAAAATCATGTTTGATACACATTATTCTCTTCATGCGGTCAACACTACGATAATGGTGCATTTTCTGAGTCAATAGTGTTAGATATTTTTCATCATTTTGCATGTGTTATCTTTTATTTTGCGAATGTTTTGCCGTCCCGACTAGTGTCTGCCGCTACACAACGAGAATTTTATTTTCAAAAGACTTTGAATATGGATGTTTCTTCAAACAGATGCGTCCATTCATTTCAAGGGACAAGCCTATTCAAAAGGTTGTCTCCATTTCTATATATTTTGAGCAAAATATAATATGCAAGACACATACAGTTTCGTTATAAAGTGTTTTCTTAGTTTAATCAAATATTCACAATTTGAATCAAACGCCTCCATTGTATCCTGAGAGAGATTTTCTATCATACCCCGGTCGTGACTTTGTTGGAAAGGGAAGAAACATCTCTTAAAAGATAACGGTTTTCGTGTCTTGGAGTTCATTAGTTTTTTCAGATTTTATTACATATTTCCAACAAATAGGTCGTCGATTCTAAGCGTAATCATTGCACGACTTTCATAGCCAAAAATTTTCTATTATTGAACATGCAAATTTATCATAAAAAAATTATCAGAAATTATCTATTTTTCCAAAGTATAGCGTTGGATCCAACAAAAAGAAAAAACTAAATATGTGTTACCTTTTATTAATAAAATAATAGAATAAATCAAATAATTGAGCACAAAATATAATATAATATCGTTACAGCAAGGCAAAGGCAATGTTTTCTCACAATATTCTCCTTCCAACTGTATTCTCTTGTTTTTATTCTAGTCACTTCCTAAATTCTCGCCATGTTCTTCGTTCCACACTTAATTTACAAGTAAATTCAATTATAAGTAAATTTCTTTTATACTTTCGTTCTTCTTTCTTTGCAATTACACAAGACTTAATCATGTCATGTAAGCAAGACCCCGTTTGACTGTAATTTTTTATTTTTACTTCTGCTTCTTATAGAGGAGTTTTATACTATTTAAAAATTAATTTATAAAATAGATTTCGCTTACGAAACATTGTCCGAAATTTTTTTAATGGTGCGTTTGATTGCGAGAATGAAATTTGTATGAAAATAAAATAAATTATAGGCAACTCAATTACCTCGAAATTATTTGTATGAAATTTGTATTTGATTGATTTAATTTTTAACTTAGAAAATATTATACTTGTCCATTTTTTATTGGTGAGTAGATGAGAGAGAGAGAGAAAGATAGCGAATTACCTGAAAAATAAAAATAAAAATTACTTCTTCCGAAAAAAAAATAATTTTCATCTTTTTAAGAAAATATGGTCACGTGATCAAAAGTAGAAAAATATTTTTTGTAGAAAAAATTGTCAATCAAACAACACAAATGTAAAACACATTTTTTATGAAAAACATTGGTAATCAAACACATCCTAAATGCTATTCTATATATATATATATATATAT